CCCACCCCTTCTGACCGTAGCCTGTAATTAGAGCAATATATTGAGGTCTACTGCCTTGATTAGAATCCATATACTCACTCTAGCTTTCGGTTCAGAATTATTGTGAAGGACTTGAACTGAAATACGTTCTAGGATAAGTTTAATGATAAGACGAACCGGCATAGAGGACTCACTTAGCCCCCCTTTCACTCCTAAATCCTATTCAGGACATCTAGGAAGCTCTTCAAAGAAGCCTGAAAAGATTTTCAACGAGAACTTTCGCAATAGAAAATTGCAGTATATATGTGGAAAACCTGCGGTTTTTAGAAGTAGACGATACTAAACATAGTACTAATGAAAAAATAAATAAATAAAAGTTGGATTACGAACTTAATTCCATATAATCATTAAAGATACATACGTGATAATTTAAATCTAATTCAGAGACTAAAACTGATGTACTCATCAATCGGAAAATATTCTAAGTATATAATTGGTAATTGGTTGAGTGTCGTGGATAATGAAGAGAAGAATAGTTGGTGTGCTCAGTCAAAAAGGAAGGCAAAAAATAAATTATAATATTTATTTCTTACATATGCCTTAGTTATCTAAGTATATATATATACACATATAAGGGCAATTCTAAGATTATAAGAAATAATTGGTACTAAATAACCATGATGCTTACTGAAAACTTCCCTTAATAAATTTTAGTAAGCAACGGACCAAACTGTGTTTGGAAATATATTCATCAATATTTGTAACGATGTAAGCCATTTAAAAGTTTCAACATTGGAAAGGTCATTACCGAAAGTATCCAAAGTTATATAGGTATCACTAAGTAAATATATATCCCATTGTTTTTCTAACAAATTAAGAGCCACCTTTTGATTCCCCTCGGAAAAGTGAATTACTACCGAACAATTTTTAGAATATACTTGATAGCTTCTGGTTTAGACACGAGTACACCATGGGAGTACAAAAATTAAAGATTCCATGATTGAACAGACATTACTGCGACCAAAACGGCGACTTGAGGAAAATAAGTTAAAACAGGAAATTTCGATAAAAATAACGTTTGAAAAAAAATTCGTGACTATGTGTAATAAACTTAAACCTCAAAATAATTTTACAGTTGAATCTCTTGTCGTTATCAAATTGAAGGCTGATAAACTACCTTTGCATATCATTGTAGTAGTATATTTTGAAGGCAGTTATCAAAACCTTCACGGCTCTATGCCGACTTGGTATATTCTCTCGGTTTAAAAAAATAAAATAAAATAAAAATAACCGTTTTATATAACATCTCATCAATGAAAACGATAATCGTATTTAAAGATTAAAAAAATGTAACTTGATTAGTTTACTTTACGAAAATACGGATTATAAAGTACACTAGCAATCCATTACAAATCTAAGATGACCAATAAAATTCCAACAACTTTTTCACAACAGCTTTCAATACACAGTAAGCAGAGGGTAATTAAGAGACATTAATGTAAAACTTCAAAGAAAAAAAATCTTTCAGGAAGGGATAAACTAACAAATTAAATTAAAATAAGAGATAAACTTGATTTGCAAACAGGGAGTATATGGCTGAAGTAATACATCTAGAGTCAGACGTGGGGTATAGAACTCTTTTCCATAAGTAGGAAATGTGAGAGGAGCGGGGTCGCCGAGCGGGCTAACGGGTGTGCACAGACAGCTCCACGCGTTGCTCGGCAACCTGATAACGGGGTTTATAAAGAATAAAATAAGTAAAGGTTAGCGTCCCGGTGCCAGTGTGGTTTTTTAACTCTGGCAATAATTACCCGCCCTCACTCCCTAGCCTGGAAAACACCGTAAAGCCTACAAGACAGGAAGGGGAGAAAAGAAAAAAAACTGGAGAATGTGGTCTCTGTGACGAAGTTGCGGCCTCCAAACGTTTTTCGCTAAATTTATTAATCTAATGCTAGAATTAATTTATATTTAATTATTTAAGTAATAATAATTTGGAAATTAATAGAATTAAGTTGAATTCATGTACGTGAGTATGTATATTTAGTGATAAATAAAATTAGCAACGGTAAAATCTAAATAATCATTGCGGCATCCATTAGCATCGCCTTAACCTTACTGCGGTCTCAAATGATAAAAAGGTTCCCCACCACGCCCTAGGCAAAACTTTCGTGACTTTTGAGCCATTAATTTATCTCTCTACGGAATATCAGAACATTCTGCAATGAAACAGAGCTGACGTGGAAGATCTCCAAACTTCCATGTTCAGAAGAAGTCGTAACCAGAACCTCACCCTCTAACCCAGATAATGTTTTAATACTAGAGCCTTAGCGGATAGGTTAGCTAAGAAGCGCCCAAGTTGGGTGACAGTCCTTATCAGGTAGGAGAATATATAGCTTGAGAACAGGGGGAGGGGTGTTAGAACAATTCGCCAGCTGATTGGTGAGGATATAAAGTGGGCCTTGATAATACAACTTGGCACTACTAATTTTCCTAGCGGCTGGTTCCACAATGGCTGGGAGCATCCACAATCAGCAATTGTATCTCCCTTATCGTGACCCCCCTATTGTGCTTCATATATTCAACGTCTCTGTTTAAACTGTCTTTTAACTCTCCACATCTCATCTCCAATCCTTCCCACCCCTTCCACCTTCCCCCACAACTCTCCCTTCCAGCCTGTGACTTTAATTACTTTCGAAATTACCCATCTGAGGGAGTGTATGTTTATTTTAATTTCTCTTTTATAAATAGTATTATTATCAATACTTCATCAGACACAGAGGACCGTTGTGGGGGGGGAAAAATCAAAGCGGGGCCGGCGGCCAAGATTTAATTAAATTATAATTGCTTTTGTCCCGTTACCGTTATACGGACCTCTAAATTAAAATTTAATTTCAAAGCTAATGTTATGGAAAATTAAACACGAATATACAAAAAAATTCAAAAATATTTATAAACGGAAAAAAAAATCTCTTTGCCATAAAGAAGAAATGATCGATTAAAAACGACCACTCAATACCAAATTAACGTTCACTTGACCAAAAACAATACAATATCGACAAGCACAGTAATAATAAATATATAAGTTCTTAAACTGTATAAACTAACAGTTATTTTTCAAATCGACAAAACGTTTTGTTTTAAACGCGCCTTAAAATTATAGTCCAGTATAATGATTAAGTTAAAAAAAAATTTCTATATTTATGTTTGAAAATAATTTAGGCAATGTATTTTTTGGATGCTTTTTCAATTGAGGTACACACTTTATATACACTTCAAGAGAATCTTACAACGTTAATGAGAATCACAATTTAAGTTCTGACGTTGGATCATTGAAAATAGGTTTAATTGAGAGAAAATTTGATCTTTTACCAATTTCGTTTTTTATATACAGTAATTTTAGGAAATTCTGACAACCGTATTATGTACCAGTAATAGACACTCAGATTTTTGAGTCGACATATTTTTTATATAATTTAAAAAAATAAATAAATTCTCCACAATTTAAAACAAGAAAAGTATCACCTTAAAAAAAGAATTTGATATTTAGAAGAGATATATTTTTTCTTCCCCTTTTTATGCTATGTTTCGTATCGAAAAATAAGGCAGAAATTCATAAAAACATTCATAAAAGTTAACCATAGAAAAAGTACTAGATAAATTATTACACAAAAATTTTATTCATTATTTGAAATATAACATATTATTCGATATTAGTATATCACACATTTTGAGAATAAAATGAATAATTAATTAGTAAAGAAATTTCTGACTTCGGTTGATTGCTGATACAGGTAGTGATTCGAGTCTCCTCACCTAATAGTCCGTGGTACAGACCCCTTTTTTATCAAATTATTAACATCCGGCTAAAACTTCGTAAATAGCTTCATCTCATCGTAACCTACAAATATTTTATTTACGAAAATTTATGAGAATTGGGGCATTTTCAATCTGGAGATCGGTAAACTTTCACCATTTAATTAGGTACTAAAATCTCGTAAACACTCACTTTCTTTCAACTTCAATCGAAAGATAACTTAAGCACAACGTCGAGAAAAAAGGCAGCTTTCAAAAATATTGAGCTGTTTGTCCTATATAACCTCGTTATTTTGATAATTTGGGGATGCAGTTATCTTTATTAAGTTATCTTTCGATTCAAGTTGAAAGGAAATGGTTATTTACGAGATTTTAGTACCTAATTAAATGGACAAAGTTTGCTGACTTCCAGCTTGAAAACGTCTCAATTCTGAGAATTTTCGTAAATAAAATATTTGTAGGTTGCGATGAGATCCATTTACGAAGTTTCAGCTGGATGTTAATAATTTGATAAAAAGAGGTCTGTACTATGGACTAGTAAATTTTATCTTAATTTTTATAGCAAAAGGTTAGTATGAATGATCGAAATAATTCAAAAATCTATTTTTTTTTTTAATCAATTTGTTTAACAAATTTCAATTATTATATTCCTGTGATTACCTTACATGTTACCATAGCAGTGTGATTATTTGGAATGCAGATAACCTAATTTTAAACAGTAGGAAAAACCTACATAAGAACTAAAAGATATTACGAAACCAAATATGTATAGAGCTACATTACAGGCTCTCACAGTAAATTTAAGTCTGCTGGGTCTTTATTTGGTTTTAAGATGGTGATATTTTTTGTTCTTTTCCATGATGTTGATACTATTACAGGTTTTTGTAAGAAATAGAATTGACTTTTTACTCAGATTTTTCAATACGTTTGAGGATATCAGGACCAGTTTTTACCTGTTTTATATAGTGTCGAAATCTATATTTATATATAATATATACCAGTTAATTAAAGAAAAATAATTTTTTTTTCAAAGAAAACCAATTTTAAATTGAATTAAAATTTTATTACGTTTGAATTAAATAAAATTTGAATGAAAACTAATAAATAACACCTATCAAGTGATTTTGTTATCACAAGTGAGATATTCATCATGCTACGTTGATTTGGGACCTGGTGGAATCCGGAGACGAGAGGGGGGGGGGGGTTGGATGCCAGCAGCTGGTGCGATGATATCTCTTCCTCTCAACTCTAATTATCATCCAGCCACTGATGAAGATGGCAACCATCCCAGGGTTCATATTCAGTCGTTCACTCCAACAATTAACTTCCACCATATTCCAGTTTACATCACCGAATAAGTATTAACTGAGAATTTCAATGAGCCACATATAACTTTAAGGAGTAACCATTCAAGATAATTGATAAACATAACAATAACTATAAAATAGAAACTAACACATAAAATAACACAGTTATTACGTGTTACCAGTACTAACTATCGTAAACTTCTACAATGTGATAAATTCCAGATGCTTATTTAAGATTGTTGTGTTGAATATGGCAGCCATAACACTATTTTAATACTATCTGGAGAGTTAAAACTGAATTAAATACTTAGTAACGTTTTTTATATTCTTTTTACAACTTATTATTTAAGTGAAATAGAAGTTAAGAAAAGAATGTAAAAAGAATTCGTAAAACGGATGAAGAAAGAGTAAAATCTCTAATTCATAATTATGTGAAACCCAACGAAGTTCGATATGAATTACTTTTAATTTTTTCCTGATCTCCTGAAATCCTGCTTTACCGCCATAGTTGGAGGGACAAGCCTGCCACGGAGTTCCTTCACCTGATTGTAAATAGTGTATATAGGTATGTATATGTTTTTTGCTTTTTTTTTTTCAATTTTTTAATATTTTATTTTATTTCTCGTATATACTTTTATATTATTATTTAGTTCTTATTTTGTTTGCTTACTTTATATTTTTTTGTACATATATTATGAACGTGATCTTACCTCACTATAACCAATGTCCAAGTGACAGAATGTTGCAATGTTCAATAAATAAATAAATTTCAGAAAAAATTAAGGTTACCACAATTAGAGAACTAAGATGATTTCCTTAAGGAATAAAGACTACTTCGGATTTCTCAGGAACAATAAATTGTCTTTAACACAGATCCCAGGCGCCAAATCAACGAGAAAACGAAGGGAGTGTTCAAGAGGATTAAACTTCTAACCATAAATTATTTAAAAAAACATATTTTATTTAAGGAAAACTTGTTCAAGATCAAAATTAAGTTCATGTAATTCCCGGCCAAATACCATATAAATACTTTTACAAATACTTTTAAATTAGAACTAGGAGAACGTTAAGGAACAGAAAAAAATCTTTAAGATGATTCACAAACCCGGTAAAGACATATACAATCTTTCATCCTACAGACCTCCTTCCTATATGGTCTAAAGTTTTTGAAAAATTAATATACAAAAGACTTGTAGACATATTGACTGACCAACAGATAATACCTGTCCACCAATTCGGCTTTCGCACATTCCATTCGACGACACATCAATTGCACAGAGTTACCGACTACATTTCTGGAGTTTTAGAACAAAAACTATATGCAACTGGAGTATTCTTGGATGTTGCTCAGGCGTCTGGCACCAGGGACTTCTCTATAAACTTAAGACTATACTATCATACACGTACTATCTTATCCATCAATCTTTCCACTTCAACAAATTCTTTTCAGTTCGTCAGAGCTCGGAAATATCTTCAGTTCGTCCAATCTTGGCAGGAGTTCCCCAAGGTTCAATACTAGCCCCTCTACTTTACGTTATATACACTTACGACATTTTGACAGCTACTTATGCAGACGATACAACAATTCTCACAAAACATCAAGATCTAGGATCACAGGCCTCACTAAATCTACATCACTTACTTAAATTACAAGATTGGTTCACACTCTGGAAAATTCGACTTAATCATGACAAATCCAAACATATCACATTTACTCTTCGAAAAAACACCTGCCCTCCAGTTTATATTGACAACAATAAGAATTCCTCAAACGGACACGGTACTTTACCTTGGACCCACCTTCGACAGAAGGATGAAATGGGGTCCGCATGTTAAAATGAAACGTAAGACACTTAACAAACGACTCAAACTACTATACTCTCTTTTTTCTAAATCTTCAAAAATAAAACTAAAACAGAAACTGAATACATATACATACTTACTTAAACCCATATGGACGTAATCATCACAAATATACGGTATTGCTAAAAAGACCCACCTAAAAAAACTTCAAACGTCCCAATCAAAATTATTGCGACTCAAAACAAAGGCACTTTGGTACGTGCCTAACAAAACTCTACATACTGACCTCCACTTTCCAACAGTTGACCAACGTACCTTTATCAACGATTTTACACAAATATGAATGGGCATAACAACAGACTTATAAGAGACATGGCCACAGCTGACATACCTCAGAAAATGAGGAGGAGACTAAAAAGCCGTTGGATGAGGAATCTCCTTCCTTAAGCAACCTAAGTAATTGGAACAAGTTATGGAAGAGGTACTGCTGAGTACTTTCCTTTCCCATGCCTGTCATGTCATCATATCATGTATCGCCATCACATTTGCTGATTGTCAACAATAAGTTGATAGGCGCAAATATATTTTTGATAGACAAAAAAAAAAAAAATATATATATATATATATATATATATATATATATATATATATATATATATATAATAGACTACAATACTAGAAAATGACATATTCCAAAATCGGAATTTATGAAAAATACATAATAGGTACATCATAATGCTTCTGAATAATTTATGTAAACACCTAGGTGTACCACGGGTAGGGACATGCAGTGAACATATGTATCAAGTGTAATGTTGCTGCAATGCGGGGTTACAGGAACATTAATCCAAACAGGAAATTAGGTCGCGCAGCATTAACGTTTTCCTAATGCTAAATACCATGTCTATTTAAATTTTCAAATCAATCAGCTCAACAGAAGTTAGAGGATGAGGACGCTTAAATAATTTCGATAAATGCTTAGTAAGGGATGTAGAAATATATATATTAGAGGTATCATTGTAAGGTTCTTTTGGTTACCGAAAACAGTTCAAGAGAACATGGGAAAGTTATTGTTATAATTTCCTATTTCTGAAAATCCCTTGGTATGAACCGTCGATAAATAAACTTCATGTTTAGTTTCAATGGTAAGGTAAATATAATGGATTATTTTATTCTGAAATTTTGAACCGAATATATATGGATCTTTAATTAAAATTCGGTCATCGGTTAACATCTATGCACTGACAAACATCAATCATTCCATGACAGGTGCGTATGAAGGAATGAAGAGAAAAAAATGTATAAAATAAATTTAATAATAACTGTTTAAGGTTTATAATCAAATTACACATTGTATATCACATAACACTGAATTAAGTATAATAAGAAAATATTAAAAATCCCACCAGCTAGCTATAATTCATTTCGTGGCAGTCCTGTCGAATTTCCTTAACAATCCAATTCTGATTAGGGAGGAAAATTAAAAAAAATGGACTGACAGTGCCCTCCAACTTTATATCCCCCACCACTATTAATTAGGCAATTTAAATCCAGCTGTTAATCATTTCGGGGGTAGAACTATGGTTAATTATGGGTAGAACTAAAATTAAGTCATGTATAGGCAATATTTAACAAATCGCATCTGACATCTGAGATCTTATGTACTATAGCAATACATATACATATATTAAATTAATTTTTTATAATATTCGTTCATATATTTATTTATTCGTACGAGTATCTACGTAGTGATTTAGATTTAACATAATAACGTGTATAATAATTTTTGTTTTCTGTAAATTCTCGGAATTGACATTAATTGTTATAATTGGTCTATCTTTTAAACCATTGAAGATACACTTGTAAAATAATATATATTCTAGAAGAAAATTTAATTATTAAATACTTTCTTCCCCATAACTCAATCATAGAACGAAACAATCGAGAATTAGCTGGTCAAATGAAGTAAAAAACATGAGGTGAAATTTATTTTTATTCAAAAACAATGGATTATTTTATTGTGAGATTTTGAACCGAATATATATGGATCTTTAATTAAAATTCGAAATAATCCATTAAAGCGATAGCTGAGGACGGATATCTCGGAAACTAAGAGATGTAAGAGAAGAAGGTATATGATCAATCATATTACAAATTTTATCAGCTTTAATTTTGTACAGAACGTCTTTGTCAATGCGATGGATAATTTTCCTGATATAAGCAAAAACCTGAATCAAAGCAATAAAAATAAGACAAAATTTTATTTTTCAAAATTAGCCATAGTTGAGGACGGGTATCTCGAAAACTAAACGAGACAGCGAAAAAAGATATATTCATTATTTATTATTTTTTATTATCATAGTAACGTAAGGCTACAACTCGGCAACGAGTCTTGGCCTGCTCCACCAGCTTCCTCCAGTCATCTCTGTTCTGTGCGGCCATCATCCAGCTCCTGACTCTCAGGACATCCCTTGAATCTCTTGCCACACCGTATGACCATCTTAGTTTTGGTCTCCCTCTTCTTCTTGTTCAGTAGAGATGTTCTGTCAGGACCATCCTATGGATTGCTTCATTCTCCATCAAGAATTATGATCTTCTTGCCACATGATCAGCCTATCTCAACCTTCCAAGCTTCATCCTCAGAACGACATCTTGATCATTAAACGTTGAAAAAATTTCGGCATTTGTTCGTCTTTTTCAATTTCCATCAATCTGTACTCATCCAAATATTCTTCGAAGAATTATTCTCTCAAAGATTAGGAGGTGTTGCTCAATTTTTTTAGTCGTCGTTCATGTTTCTGAAGCATAGAGCAGGACTGGACGGATCAGTGTTTTATAAAGATGTAGCTTATTATGCCGGGATAAAAAGCGAGAGGTGAAGGGCAAAGTAACATTAATCAAGGTATATAAAAAAGATATATAATCAATCATATTGCAAATTTTATCAGCGTCGATGCGATGGATAGCTTTCCTGAGTGGATATTAAGCGAAAACACGAAAAAAGTGAACTTCTAGGCATTTTCCCCTTCCTACATCTGGCCCATCACTTAGGAGTTGTGGACTTTGAGTATGTTTGCCTCATTGCAGGTCCAAACAATGACCCAAAGCCAATAATTATGTTCCCGCCATTTCCTTCTATACCTTTGTTCGAGCATGCATTGACTGGACTGCTATGATAGTGGAATAGAAAGTAACACACCTATATCGTCAAATCTCTGCGGACAGAAATATCAGATCGCAGAGACATATCGCACAAGCCTTACATATGACAAATTAATCACCTTGGATTATTTATAGTAGACATTTTTATTTGAAAAATTTTCACTTTCACTCAATCATCTCGGCTCATACACACAAGAAAATCAAATACTCTCAGAATTAATTATTTAATGTCTACATATACAGTCTATTACATCATCATACCATACAATAGAATGTAAATGTTAAGAAGGCTAAAAGATAATATTAATAATGAAATATTTATAGGAGAAGAGATAAAAGGATCCAATTGAGGAGTAATGAGTGTTTGGATTGCCCTAGACGTTATGAGATTGGAAGGGAAGATGTTCTCCAGTCGGAGGGATCAGGATTCCCGAGGGACCATTCATCCCTCGACCTCAGTCTCCAGCTCCAGCTTCCAAAGCCTTCTGAGATATTACACAGCTTGCGAGCTGAGCTAAGCTACACCACTCCCTAGTCACATCCAACTATTACGCTTTACCTCCTACAACTTTAAAATTCTCATTATAAACGGTATCAACTATATCAATGAATTTCTGTATAAAGAAAAAACCAGGTAGGTTATTATTTTTTAAAACTTGAGATTAATTTTACACGTAAACACGTGGTTCGCAAACTGAAATGAAAAAAAAAAAAAAAAAAAACTCACTCGAGCACGAATTATTTTACTACCGCGAATTAAACCATGAACAATTTTCAACTTATAGTATTATAACTATTTCATTGTTTAGTTAATTACCGAAATAAACCAATGCTACCAACATAAATAAAGTGTTAGGTAAAATAAGAGATTTGGGTATTTCTGATTGGCTTTTACAAAAATAAACTGTTTGGCTGGTTGTTTGTATACTTCAGCAGGATTGTAAATCGCATTAGAGATATTGTAAAAATAACGAAATTTCTATATTATTATTTAGCTATCAAAACAAATAATTAAAAAAAATAAATAAAAATGTTTATAATGAAATCTACCTAACCGGAATGGTAAGCAATTATTTATTTTTTTAAATTTATTGTGTAAAATAACATTCTGTCAATTTGACAATAGATAAGACTACATTCACACTGTATATACATACAAATATAAAATAAACGAAACAAAATAACAAATAAATAATAATAAAAGAATTAAACAAATAGATTATTTTCTGAATTATCCCTTTAATTGTTTTGTTTTTTATATCTTGTTTATAACTTTTTTTTTTGTTTATTTGAAAACTTGAATTATTTTTACATACTTTAGTTAATATTAATTCAACTTTGATTTTTTTCGATTTTTTTTTTTTATCTTAAGCAATTTAATTGTTTTTTCTCTAGTTGTTAGTAATAAGTCAATAGTCTGTTATTAAAAGAATATACGTAGCGTTATCATCATTCGCTAATTACACACTTACTCTTTTCAAAGATCAAAAAATATCAGGTCTCGATAAATCGAACTATTCATATATTTTTTCGATATAACCTATGTAGTTTCCAATATAACGATTAATATTTCTATATATTTGAAAAAAAAATAAAATGATATATACAATGATATATAAAAAATCGATATCATATGAATATATTTTTTCGTATTTACATCCCTACCTCGCATTGATGATCCAACAATAATTTATTTATTTTTTTTTAGCTATTAACTTTCCTAAATACTTACTCCTGTTGATACTTAATTGAATTGAAATCAAAAATGAACATTTAAAAATTTATTATTTCACCTACTAGATAAAGTGTAGGTATCAGGGCATCGATTTTTGCCAGAAACACCAAATAAATAATTATGTATTTTTAATATTTTGTGACTACAAAAATGTTTTGATCGATAATTTTATAATTAGTCCAACGTTAACTTTACGGAAACTCATTTAAAAATTTTATGATCTAAACCTTTTTTCTTTATAAATAAAAGGTATCAATTTTAGTGCTATTGTTTTTTTTTGTTTTTTGTTTTTTTTAAGCAAACTGTTGATGTTGGTTTAATAAAGAAATAGCAATTAACTTTCAAGATTTCAGTTACGAAAGCGAGAGATTTTTTTATATACTGTTATTTTGATATACACTAATAATTTTACTAATAAAATTAATGTTCGTGACGGAGTTCTAACTCAAATCAGATATATTATATATAAAATCAGAGATTTGCTATTTCTTTATTAAACTAACACAAAAAAAAAAACTAATTATGAAATTATTGATCAAAATATTTTTGTATTCATAAAATATTAAAAATACATAATTATTTATTTGTTGTTTCTGACAATGTCCTGATACCCACGCTTTATCTAGTAGGTGAAATAATAATTTTTAACCATTATGACAACAATCAACTATAACAATCATTTCGAAATGATACATTTTAACTACTAATAAATTGTATTTATTGAATAGTATAAATCGCTTTAGAAGCATTAAAGTAACACTGATACAAAACTATAAGAATGAGAGTAGCCCTTCGAGCTCTGTTTAAAGGACAGTCAATCCTGTATATAACGTAGGTTGGTATTTATGCTCTATCAGCAATGTGAGTTCAGGTTTATTAGCGGCGAGATAAGGTTTCATGAAGTTGATCAGTTTAGTAGTAGTCAGGGAACTTGAATGTTCGGTTTAGTAGTGAATTTTTATTATATATTGTGTGTCTTAACATGTAATCTATGTGTATGTAGGTAATGATGGTGAAGACAGCGATAGTCCATTGGCTAGCGTGCGAACTTGATATGGTGAAGATTCCCGGTTCAAGACTGGTTCCATTATATTGGGGGCGAGGTTGCCGAGCGGGCTAACGCTACACCATTGCGCATTGTCCGGAAACCTGGTAACCGAAGTTGGATATGGAAAAATAATTTCGAGTTCAAATACACGGTTCACAGTCCGCGAAAAAAAACCGTGTAGCCTAAAAGGCATGGAAGAAGATAACAAAAAAAAAAAAAGGTTTTAATATGGGTAATCAAAGGAAATAAATTATATTGTTTAGGGAGATACCATGTTATTGTATTGCTCGGGGGCGTTAAATGTCTAAACCTGGCACTGTTTATTAGGATAATGGAAAATATTCATTTGACACTTTAATTTTTTCTTTCATATCTTTATCAACACCTATCATAAGCAATTTTGTTATGTAGGCGAATCCTATGCTAAACTGAACATGGGTGAAATGCAAGAAAAAAAAATCAATCTTATTATGTAGTAAGATTCTAAAAACTTCAAGAGCAAATAATTGGAACCATTAGTCAGAATAGGGACGGAAAGCAAGAAATTGAATGCTTCAATCTAGCTAAGGAAAGGATTTAAATAAAATGGCTGAGGAATTCCTCTGGATCAAGCGGCTGGAAAGACAAAGTGAGGAGGTGAAAGCTGAAGGGTCCTTTGGGGAAGCAACTTGTTTCGGCAATTCCCAGGAGGACTAATTCAAGTATGCAGGGTTCGGCATGTGTCAGGCTAACCTCCCCATTCCGAACAAGAGGAAAACTGAGCGAGGAGCTCTCCGAGTAGGATCAACACGAGTGGAACTCACAAAGGCATCAAGTTTGTCGAATCGATACTCAACATCCACCTTTCGCAAAACTTGAAGTTGGCAATAAAGTAATAAGCCGTATTTATTAATCACTTATTACAAGTTTAATCCAATTCTATAAAAAAAAAAGACCGTTTTTCAAGCAAATATTTGTATTATTATTTCTTGGATATAAAATACAATTCATACTCAAAATATAGTCCGTTGTTGTCTACCGTCGTTAGCATTTTGCTAGCCAACTCGATCTCACGCTGATACCATTCCTTGGGATGGCTGTCAAAGAACTATTGAATCTCAATTTCAAGTTCCGCAAAATTATCAAATTTTTTCCCTCGGAGAAAATGGGCCATGGATCTAAATAAGTAGTAATCCGATGGTGCGACGTCTGGACTATATTGTGGATGAGATAGGAGTTCGAACCCATGAACTTTTCTTTGGTTCGACGAGAAGTGTCTTGTTGGAATAAAATTCCTTTTCGGTTCATCGAAAACCTGGAACTCATTCCACACAAAACTATGTCCTCCAAGATGGCCTGCGAAGATGAGACAAATCGTAGTGCGGACACTAGAAGATACATAAAACAGTATCGCTAGACGGTCTAAGGGCCGTGTTTCGAGACTGTTTCTAGACGGTTATGGATAAATCGAGCAACAATGCCTACTAGTGTGTACTAGTAGGCTTAAGGCATTTTTCTTTTATGTTTGTCCTATTAGTAAGGCTCTATATGCGGCAGGCGTATGTTAAAATTCGTTTTATTACAGATTTATATAGAATTCATTTGTTTTTAGGTGAAAGTTTTGATTTTTTGTTAAAATATGTGAATATTTTATACATTATTTTTAGTGGATATTTTAATTTTGAATTGATGTCCTGATTAAATAGGAGTTTCATTTCGAGTGTTACACCTAAATATTTAACTGACGTGTCGAGCGGAGTCATTTATGTTCGACGTGATTATAGGACGATTTTATGTAAAAGTAATGGCTTCAATTTTTTTCTATGTTAAGTTTTAAACCCCATATTTTAAGGTATTTAGATGTTTTATCGAAAACATCAGGGAATCTGTTGATAATGTTATCTATACGGTATGAGGACGAGCATAACGCTGTATCATCGGCAAATAGCGCTCTATTAACATTTTTTATTTTAGGGAAGTCATTAATGAATAAATTAAATAATATTGGACTAAGGCAAGATCCTTGAGGGATGCCAGTAATAGAATTGTAATATATTGCAGGATGTATAATTTAAATGTCATGTAACGTATAGGACAAAATAAACTAAGGCAGAATAGCTGTATTGTGAAGTAATGCTTTGCCCTGAACTTTATCAGAGATGATTTTAAATATGTTGAGGACGGCAGGGAAGGGCCGGGCCGGGGAGGACTTCTTTCAACTAGCCCGGATGTCGGCTGGAGTGCCCTCTCAACTCGATAAGGACGCTTCCCAACAGTTTCTCGGCTTAAAACAACATCAAACAAGAGGTGGAGAATAAACGTTTTGTTATAAATATATAGTGAATATTAAAACACTTTTTGAACAACAATCAAAGTAGAAAATTTTGAAATATCTGTTGAAAAACTGTTGTAATACGTACATATTAGACATTTAAAAATGTTAAACAATTATTGCATGAAAAGTTCTTAGCACAGATATTATAGAAACAGATTAATAAAAACGTCACATTCACAGTAAAATATTATAATTACAGTAAATAAAACATAATTATGTTAAAAGCATTTGCGGTCGACACGGACATCTTATGAGTTCTGCGCATGCGTTAACCCTACACATACACTCTTTATTTCGTCTCTTATAAAGTGACTTTATTATCAGTGAAATAATTCATGTTATTTGTGAAAAAGTAGTGTGAACTGTCAAGTTAACAATTAAGTTGAAACTGGACATAAATAAGGTGAGTAATAACTTATTTATAACGGCATTGTGAAC